CCCCACCCCACCCCCCGCGCCTCTCCGGTTTCCTGAGCTGCGGGCTGCAAGGGAGGAGAAGCGGCGTCTTGCTACCCCCTCGGCTGGGCCCCGGGGTAATTCGATGCGGGCCTGGCGAGGCTCCCCACGCTAGACCCGGGCTCGCGTCTCGGCAGCCTCCACCCACCGGCCCACCCTACATTTAGCGCATCATGTGATCCGGGTAAGTCATTTGCAAGTACAACAGTTCCCTGGGTTGCCCCCCATTCATTTCCTGAGAACTGCAGAGAGCAGCTGAGAGGCTCTGCCTGTGCGTGTGCGAGTGTGCGTGTGAGTGAGCGCGGGTGACGCCGTGTGTGTGCGAGAGTGAGTGTGTGTGCGCGCGCGTGTGTGAGAGAGAAAGGGAGAGAGAGAGGGGGACTCTGTGAGGGAAAGAAAACAATTTCTCCTGCTCTGCAGCTTCTGTTCAGGTCTGTGCCGATTCCGTTTCTTATCAAAATAAACAACCCCCTCCTCTTTTTTTTTTGCCGTCCCAAATCAGACCGTATTCTCTTAACATGTTTTATTTTCCTTCTGTCATCTGCTCAAGTTAAATCATTTTGGTTGGTCTGTATTCTTAAAGGGGGAAAGTGTTGGGAAGCGGGAGGGGGCCGAGGGAGGGCGATGCTATTGCAAAGCAAGTATCGTCCGTCGGATTCGTGGAGAAGAAAGACAGAGCCTCCCACCCCCCCCAACCCCCCACCATTATTTTTAAAAAGAACTTAACCAAGTAACGTGAATTAAGCAAATGTTTTTCTACCCCTAATTTAATTGTTGGTTGCAATGTTTGCCAGACAGTTGCCAAGGATGAGAAATAAAACACCAGGGCTGAAATGGGGTGTGTGGGGGGGTGCGGCTTGTGGAAATAGTTTGCCCCTGGAATAGAGCGAGAGTTCGGTCAATAGCTGCAGCACCGGGTCTCTGCGAGCTGTGGGTGTGCGCTGGAGAGAGTGGAGGGGAAGGGGTTAAGGCGGAGATGACACTGCTGGCATGAATAGTGGTCCTGGTGCTACATTCATTATTGTCTCTGGTCGTAATGATGTGTAACTGTCACTTGCCACAGTGCCTTGTCCATGGAAGTAGCCAGAGGCTGCCCTGTGGCTGTTATTTTCAATTACGGGGGACCCGGCCAGAGTTGACAAGGGGCAACTTTGCACGTCCACCCTGGCCGGGAAGCCCGCCTAGCCGGCCTGGGAGCTACTTCTCGCCTTAGGAGCTGGCTTCGAGGACTCGGACTTGACCTCCGCGACTTGAGTTGGTGTACTTGTTAGATGCTCCCCTACGGGGAGAATCAGCCCTGCTTTTGTTGGGTACAGAACTGCCTATTAGAACTTTGAAAACTTTTATCTTTGGGGAAAAGGGTGGGGTGCACTCAACAGTTCTGTTTCCAAGCGTGTTTGAGGCAAAGGCGAGGAAAAAGTCCAATTCCTTTGTTATATGCCCTGCAAGCTTCCCAACCCTCTTCACCCTGCGCTTCGAGTTTTGCATACTTTAATAGTAATAGCCTTAATTCAGCTGATAAAAGCTGACCATATTGAATTAAAGGGTATTAGTGCAACGGAATGTGTAATCTGGATAAACAGTTTTTGTGGTTAATATTGTCAGATCTCTAATTTAACTGTACGGATGGTGTAAGTATGGTTCTATATGGATTGTTTTAAGCAATTCCACTGGCTAATAGAATTCTCGGCGGAGCACTCGGATGTTTTATTTTGAATCAGCTTTAATATTCTGTCAGTTTCCCTGTAACACCAGGGAGATGAGCAGCTCTATTTACATTTAGTGCTTGTGCATCTAGTGGCTTCGGCAGACATCTGCCAATCAAATGCACGTCATTGTGCAACCCCACCTAGCCTTCTCCTTGCCCTTTTCTTACTGGAGGATAGACTTGTTTAGAGAAGGAAATACTTTTTGAAATAAATTTGCTAGCTTTTTACAGGCAGCAGCTTGTGATGGGGATGGGAGTGGTCGCTTTGAAGAGTGGGTGTATACCGTCTTATAAGAATTGCTCTTTGCAATTGACATTTAATAAAAACAGTATCCCCCTGCCCCCAAGCCTGATTGTGCTATTTGCAGACCTCATTCAAATGTTGTTTGCATTTTGAAAAAACCACATAGAAATTGGTTATGATAAAGTCATATACTTTTAGGCTAGAAATGTTGAACTGGAGAAGCTTAGTAGAAATAGGATGTTGAAGGACAAACCTTTCAGTTGCATAAGTTATATCTTTATCGCTGCAGCCTGGTCAATCTGGAGACTACCTGGAGTATATTAAGCTGCTTTGAGTTGGGGAGAGAGTAATTTGAGCATACAAGAATTGGCAGAAATTTGTAATGTATTTAGGAAAGGTTTATTCTATCTTCTAAACCAGAACTCTTATGCAATATACTTAACATGGTAAAATTTGGAATGTTTTCACATAAAATTTTCACACTTTATGAACTAAAACTGTGTAACTAATATAGCTGCGTCCAATAAACAAAACATTCTTGAGGGTGTTTCTGTTTATTTTTGAAGTGCTTCAGTTATTTATTACTTAATTTATTACTACAGTTTTAAAAGAAACTTTCGTCAGCTAAACTTTATTTTGGAATGCTTTGTACTACTATCTATTGAATGGAAATGTTTGTGCTAATGAGCGCTTAATATTTTTTTCTCCAGAAAGTTCCCTTTCAACAACTGAATGTCATTTGGGAGAAAACTGGTTCTGGTATAGCATTTGAGACCTTGACCTTAGCAACTCTTGGCTGGTGGTTGTTTACTACAGCTGCAGCCTATGTGTGTACAGAAAGGGAACGGACTGCAAACACTGGTGTGCTCCCTCTCCCCTGGCCAAGGGAAAAACAAATCAGGATGCTTCATGGTCATTCCTAAGAGCACGCATCAGACATGTAATGGTGATAGTGTTCTGGCCATTTAAAAATATATGTGTTCCTCGGGGATTACTTCCCGGCCTTCCGTGAAAGGGAAACACGGGCTTCCACAGACCAAGAGTGAATGTCAGATGTTGTATCATGAAGCAGGCTGTTACCGACTTAATGAAATACTTTGGTCTTAAATATAGGGGGGATTTTTTTTTTTTTTAATATCTGCAAAGATGTGAAAGTGCCGAGGGCTCTAGGCCTATACTGAGGGCATTTTGAACTCAAGCCAGTGTTGGTTAATCTAGTATTGAGTAAGCTTATCAGTGAAGTGATAGTGTTAAGTAGTTGAATATATAAAAGTCCTGGACATTTTCACCATCGTACAAAATGGAAAATGTGGAATTTCATGTTTATGCGCATTAACATTAGAATACTCATTAAAATGGGGGTGTCAGATGGTTTGTTTTCTGTATATTGTGAAACAGTTTCAGAGTGTCACATTCATAAATCTAGATGTAGATGCTTTGTGTATTAATATAAAATAATTGTATTCTACAAAATTAGAAATGGAACCAACTCATTTGAAACGTTATTTACTTTTTTAGATAACTATGTTTCCCAATTTTTGCTTCCATACTGATTAATGAGCAAGAGCTAAACATCCCAAAATAGTTTCATTCAGAAGGGGCACCATGGTTATCTTTTTCTTTTAGAAAACAGCTTTCATTTTTGTAAATAATTCCTAAAATAGATTTCAGTTGCTTACCTCTATCATTTATGTTTGGAAAATACCATATGATACTAGAGTGGAAATATCTAGATTTTTGCCTAATGTTTGCTTATTTTCCATTTTAAAATTCATATTCATATGTTTTTCAGCCTGCAAGTTATGCACCACTTTCAGTCTTAAGTAAGTACAAAATGTAAGGGTAGAAATATTAAAATTAAATACTGGCGACACCCTGTAACCACAGCTTTAACTCATCCACCATAACCACTGCTCCCCAAATCAAAATGCACGTAAACAGATGGGCCTTGCCCCGTGCCCAGAAGGTCAGCAGCCTTAGGCTGTATGGGACCTGCTTGGTTCCTAGGTCCCCAGCCTGTCCAGAGGACTGTGTGACTTCAGCTGGCCAGAATTCATTTTCAGGGCTTAGACCAGCCACACCCCATGTGATGTCAGCTTTGGAGTTCTGTGGTCAAGAACACATGCTGTGGATTAAATGGTTACTTTCTCTATATATTCTCAGTAATTATGTTACAAAAGGATTTTTTGGTTTTGGGTGTTTATTGTCACAAAAGTGGCTACTTGAGTAGTCATATTACTCCCATAAAAATTTGTTTTGGTCTGGCAGTAGATTACAGGATAGTCACTCAAAGAATTTTGCTGTGGTATGGTCTTTCTTCCTGTCTTTGTTTTTCCACTTAAAGTTGAACTTTTATTTGGTTACTAATTTCTTGGTGTATGTTTAAAAATATTTCGTAGTGTGATAATTGGACTAGTCCAAACAGCATTGCTATTTAGGTACAGATGGACCAGCAGAAAGCCTTCATCGCTGCTGTATTGTTTTAGCGAAGGTGAGAAGGAAAAAAATGGGAGTGCCTTGGGATAGTTTTCCTGCCCCCATCAGAGTCTGTAGAAGCTGCCACTATTACTGGTTGCTGGCGTAGACACCCAGGAATTGTGTTCCAAGTGCTGCCATTCATCATGCTTATCAGTGTACAGTAGTCCCCCCTGATCTGCTGGGATATGTTCCAGGACCCCAGTGGATACCTGAAACAATGGATCGTCCGGAACACTGTACATAGCATGTGTTTGTTTTCCTGTACATGCATATCTCTTCACTTTTAAGGAGCACTTGGTGGCTTCTCTTTGGCATATCCGAGTTTCCAGCAACACTGCTCTTGTGCTATGGGGCCATTAGTAAAAAATAAGGGTTTCTTTGACACTAGTCCTGTGATACGGGGACAGTGGATCCAATAACCAAGAAGCCTACTCAGTGACGAACAGGGGGACATGTACAGTATGGATACACTGGATTTAAGGGATGAGTCGAGTCCTGGGCGGGATTACGGAACTGGATTTCATGAGATTTCATTACGTTATTCAGAACCGCGCGCAATTTAAAACATGAATTGTTTATTCCTGGAATGGTCCATGTAATGTTTTCGGATGGTGGTTGACCTTCAGTACCGAAACTTTGGAGGTCAAAACCATTGATAAAGGGAAACTGCTGTATATGTTTTTTCACAATAATTTGTAGTGTGGTGCATATGTACATACTATATACACACATATACACACAAATATTCACTGTTTTATGTATGTATATGTGTATGCATGCATACATACCTATATAATACTGATGTGTTTTTATAGTATTTATATATATTGCTATGTACCCCCCTCACCATATACATTCTGACCAAAAAAATTAATAGTAAAAAGACACCCCCTCACACTTGTATAAAAAGGGGAAAAAACACACGGACTCTTTTTTCATATTTGGTTTAGTAATACTAGTCTTGCTTTATTTTTGAGGTTAACAAGCAAACTCATAACAAA